GCCGACACATCATTCCACGTGCTCAAACTTTGGTGTGCCTCCAGAACGATGGGCCAATGTGTGTCCGAACTGGATCGCAATATGCACGCTGACCCTGGACAACGGTTAGATATCGCAACGTATACCGTCAAGGAAGAGTGCTTGCGAGCTGGAAAGGGGAAGGTGGTGAAAGCAGCAAGGGAAGAAGAGATGCGAAGCCTCCTCGCCAATGGAACATGGGAGCTGGCGCCACGACCGCGCGGCGTCAATGTCATGAAGAACTGGTGGGTTCTTACGACAAGATACAACGCCGACGACACGGTCGCCCGCGAAAAGGCACGTGTTTTTGTGAAAGGTTTCACGCAGATTTATGGCGCGGATTATGACAAGACGTATGCGTCGCTTGGCTGCTACGTTATGCTGCGCATTTTCCTCTCCGCCACCACGGTACTTGATCTGCATCTCATGCAGTTGGACATGAAAAACGAATATCTGCAGAGCACACTGAATCGCGTAGTCTACGTGGAGAAGCCATCGCACTACAAGGATGGTACATCTCGCGCATGGAAGCTTCTGAAAAGCTTGTACAAACTAAATCAGAGTCCACTTCTCTGGTATTCGGCACTGGATAGCGTACTGATTAGCGGTGGGTGGAGCAAGATTCAGGTTGACGAAGTGTTCTACTTCAAGTTCGGTGCTGGAGGAGTAGGTTTGCTGGCTGCTTGTCTACGTTGACAACTTGCTCGCCGTGAGTAGCAGCCTCGAAATGATGAAGGGGATGCGTGAACTTCTGCAAAACTCATTTGAGCTGCGAGAAATCTCTTCCGTGCAGAAGTATTTAGGCGTTGAGATTGTGCGCAACAGGTTTGCGCGAAAGCTATGGCTGCACCAAAGTGCATACTTGGACAAACTGCGTCGCCATTTTCTGGACGAAGAGCAGATAGGTCGCTACCCAAAAACGCCTATCTCGGTGGGTACGTATACTGACCTGAAATTTGATGACAAGGAACACCAAGCTCATGAAGAGGAAGAGTATCGTCACAAAGTGGGTTTGCTCTAGTTTGCCACGACCACGATCTATCTCGACATTGCATATGCATGCAACAAATTGGGCTTTGGGATGACGTTTCGCAGTGACCAGCACTAGAGGGAGATGGACCGCTGCATTGAGTACATGGTGAACACCCGTGACTTCGCCCTCGAGTTTGGTGGTGGACCGGATACTCTGCGCCTGGTGGGGTATTCAAATTTCAATGACGCGGGTGACCGAGTAGCAGTACTAGCGGATGCGTTTTTGTGCTTGGCAGAGCTGCAATTTTGTGGGAAAGTTAGAGGATTAAGTGCATGACGTTATCCTCAACGGAATCCGAGTACATTGCTGCAACAGAGGCCGGCAAGGAGGCGCGCCGTTTGCGCTTTCTACTCGCCGAATTTCAGCATCTTGATGGAGAACTCCTCTGCAATTGCGGTTGCGGAAGGGTTAGGGCTCAAGGGGAGTCTCAAGCACATGGAGAGGTGGTACATCTGGCTGTAGCAGATGGTGAAGTGCAAGAAACTAGTGCTTACGTACATCACGGCGAGCGAGCAATCCGCAGACTATCTCATGAAGGCGCTACATTCCCCGACTCTTGAGCGCTGCTCAGTCGCCATTGGGCAAGTCAATATTGCAGACGACGAGCGCGATAACGCGCATGATTAGGTGCCATGTTCTTCAACATGGCTGGTGCGGTGAGTATGCGTGTGCGGAAACACGCGGACGGGTATTAGGATCGTCACCATGTTGTACTCTATTATTTCCTTTTGCTTTGTGTGGTGTGCTAACTCCTTGGATGCCCAGGCACGAACAGGGCAGGGGAGTGTTGAGGCAAAGCTGTGCACGCACCCGATTATGCGTGTAGCAGCTCTATGTGATGAGATTTTGTATACCGCATACCGGAGCTTCGGTACCCTTAATTTTGTTGCTTTCACTATGCACAATTCGACATTGGACCAGATTGAAGGGAACTGACGACATTGCACAAACGTGTATGTGCAACTGTTTGTATTGCAAGAACCTGCGCAACTACTTATGGGCGAGTAAAAAAACATCTGATGGTATTTTCACGTGATGGTATGTTCACTTAGCGGTCTTAGCCTGGAACCACGTACTAGAGTAGGTGCTTGCTTGTTTTGGTTCAACACCTTTTAGCATGAACAATGTTCTCCTAGAATGTTCTTGCATACGTCACTATCTTCTCTAAGGTTCATGTTGTTTTTGTTGTAATCAATCAATTAATCAATTTTGTATCTTTATAAATACCAATACCTGGTTTCAAACTAGTCCGTATTCGATTTACAAGTATCCGGTTTGCAACTCTGCGCCTAGGCTCTCCCATAATCGACTATTTTCCGCACTTCCTCCTACTTCGTTTTTTTTTTTTTTTTTTTCCAAAGGGCGGTCAGCTCGGAATAAAAATGGTTACGCGCCTTCAACTTAAATGTTCAAGCACCACTTCAATTGTCCTCAATGCTCAGAAAAAAAATGGTTACGCGCCTATTTTAGCGGATGGTACATTAGGGCGTGTAACCATTTTGATTTTGGTAGAAGCTTTGTTTTTTTTTCCGTGCGTACGGTAAACGAACGAGTACATTTTGGCCGGTGTTTTGAAGCAAACCAGGTTAAAAAAAAAAATCCAATCAATTCCGTTTCGTGTGCAACGTTATACGGCCATTCGCGACCAATGTTGCAAGGTTTAACGACGGTAGTAGCGTCAAATATCACGGGGGTTCGTTGAACGAGATGAAACCTGCAAAATGGTTACATTCCCTTCCTGTCGGTTCTCGCCTAGTCCGCAGGGGAGCAATACGTTCCAGCTGTGGACCAGCCTTGGACCCGTCTTGCACCCACCCATGAACCAGCACGTATAGTAGCCACTCAACAAAGCGGGTACAGGCACGAGACTGGATTCATGATGCGCAGGACCATTTGCTAGGACTTCGCATGCATGCAAATATTACATGTCATGCTTTTTTTGTGTGACCACGTCAATTCGTCCTCCAACTGCAAAAGCTTTATAGTGATTACATTGCGGGACCTCTTATGGGTACGAGGAGGGGTCCATTTCTTGAATTACGAGACTGCCTTGGTTTTTATTGGATCGCTTACCTCGTTCGCTCCAAGTGACCTATTAGCATGCGGTTATAGAAACAAAAGTTTTGGAATCAGCTCTTCAATGTGTGCTGATCGGAATAATTTTTGTGCCTACCTAATAGGTATGGTCCTCACTAGGATTTGAAGGCACCTGATGCGTCAGACGGGCCCGAAGGGTCCCTGTGATACATCAGAAATATATTATTTCTGTGTCTAGTCGATCAGTGTTTTTCCGAAACCTTGACCGACCAATCAATGGTGAACTGTCTGGACACAGAGTCCCTTCAGCTTTACGGAGCACGTCGCCTACTCTGGTTGGCCATTGGCAAGATCAAGACTATGGGACAGACAGCGCGTGTCACAATCACCCTGGCGACACCAAAACAGCAGATTCGACTTTCGGCCTATCAGCAGATTCAAATTCGCTAGGTCAGGGCAAATTCTGTCGAAAATCGTCGTGGACTAACAGATTATATTTATGGAGAATCAGATCAACTAGAAAAAGCGTCTTAGGCACCATACCCATCTCTCTTAATGCCTTGTACTATAACCATGTGGCTATTCCTAAGGCTCTTTGAGTTGTGAAGCAGATCCCAAGGTGTGTTATGTTAGAATCTGGCAGTAGAAATGATTAAACTATGAAAGAGTTGGGTACAAATATGAAACCCTAAAGTGGGTTGTACCCCATATTGGCTACCCCACTACAGCCTAAACATATATAGCAGATATAACATTTGACATGTTATTCTATTGGCTACTGGACTACACTTTATTATGATGGCCCTATTAAGTCCCACACCATCTTCTCCCAAGATCTCCACCTCGGGAACTCAGAATCAACAACAAGAAAACTCATCAGCATACATCGTTTTTTTACTACTTAAGAAAACAATATATTGTGCTTCAGCATCACTCGCTGACTCAGTCCCTTCACAAATGCCAGTTTCTTCAAACTGTCATCAGTGCACGATGCCTTCGAAGGGATATCACAAGGTTATCACGTAGTCTACGATGCCTGACTCAAACACACTGGTTCACAAGCTGTTGGACTCTGCTGACAAGGCAGATGAGGGGAAGGAGGAATATGAGGCGGGCAATATAAACTCAATCCTAATATCAACAACAATGAAGCGGGCTCTTCTGGCCATTCAGTGGAAAATAAGCTCAAGATGGCATCTGCTGACCTAGAAGAAGAGGTCATGGATGACTCAGACGACGAGCTCAATATCGGTTCCAAGGCCGACGAGCTCTGCAAGCTGAGACCCACAGCCAATCTGCTCATCCCTTACATCTTGGCCCAGGAATTCGCCTCCGTTGTCTCCACTGTTCACATGCTCATGACGCGGGTGTGGTGTTTGGTCTTTTCTGATAATGTCTCTAATACATTAGACTTCCAGGTCTTGCAAACCGTCGTACATTGCGAAGATCCGCTTCTGCAATCTCCAAGTCTCTTCCTGCTAGAAGAGGATTCGCTAAGCCTACGCCAACACAAGGTGGATGATCAAACGGTAAACAGCATGTCACCAGACTCTACTGGCAGCGCACGGATGACGCGACATTCATCAGGGAGAGGTCCTCCAACCCGCTCGCTGTGTAGGTCATCTTCAATTTCATCCTCCGTTGCTCCTGAAGCCTTGTAGTGTCTGCTGGCTCACTACAAACTGAATATCAGCCAGCAACCAATCTACAAAGTGGGGCTCTACTTTCAAAGAGTTATGCACAATGAATATTAAATACACCCTTACATTCGCGACTCTGAACGTGAACGACTTAGGTGACAGAATAAAGCAAGCTTGAGTGTCAAACAGGGCTAGGAATACGGCTGACTCCATAGTACTTATAGATAGAATATTAGTTACTAGCAATTTCTACTAGAACTCCCTCACCTTCTTTAAAGCCGACGGGAAGAGTTGAGAAGACTTGAATGAGGCAGGTTCTCCACGTCCAATGTCCCCACGGCCGAGGGCAGGGGGGAAGAGTCGGGAAGACTTGAGAGTGGCAGGTCCTCCACCTCCAATGTCTCCAGGAGAGTGGAAGGTCTTCCAACTCTTATGTCTCCACGTCCGAGCGCCGTCGGGAAGAGTTGGGAAGACTTGAGAGTGGCAGGATCGGCTGGAAGAGTTGGGAAGACTTGAATGTGGCGGGTCGGGCGGAAAGAATCGAGAAGACTTGAATGTGGCAGTTCATTCACCTCTAATGACCCCACGGCCGAGCGGGAAGAGTCGGCAAGAATTGAAAGAAGCAGGTCCTCCACCTCCAATGTCTCCTGTGAAGTGGCAGGTCCTGCACCTCCAATGTCTACACGGCTGGGCGTCGGCGGAAAGAGTGGGAAAGAATTGAGTATGGCAGGTCCTCCTCCTCCGATGTCTCCTCGGTCAGGAGCCGTTGGCATGTCCTCCACCTCCAATGTCCCTACGGCCAAGCGCCAACAAGAAGAGTCGGGAAGACTTGAGAGTGGCGGGTCAGGCAGGAAGTGTCGGGAAGACTTGAGAGTGGCAGGTCTAGCGGGAAGAGTCGAGAATACTTGAATGTGGCAAATCTTCCACCTCCAATGTCCCCACGGCCGAGCGCCGGCGTGAGGAGTCGCGAAGACTTGAAAGTGACAAGTCCTCCACGTCCGATGTCTCCAGGAGAGTGGCATGTCCTCCACCTCCAATGTCTACAAGTCCGAGAGCCGACGAGAAGAGTCGGGAAGACTCGAGAGTGGCGGGTTGGGCGGGAAGAGTATGGAAGACTTGAATGTGGCACGTCCTCCACCTCCAATGTTCCCACACCCGAGCGCCGACGAGAAGAGTTGGGAAGACATGAGAGTGGCAGGTCTTCCACCTCCAATGTCTCGAGTCAACCGGCAGGTACTGCACCGCCAATATCTCCACGGTCGAGCGCCGGTGGGAAGATTCAAGAAGACTTGACAGTGGCAGGTCATCCACCTCCAATGTCTCCATGGCCGAGCGCCGACGAAAGGAGTCGGAAGCCATGACAGTGGCAGGTACGACAGGAAGAGCCGGGAAGACTAGAGAGTGGCAAGTCTGGCGGGAAAAGCCGGGAAGACTTGAGAATGTCAGGTCCTCCACCTTCAATGTCCCCACAGCCAAGCGTCGGCGGGAAGAGTCGGGAAGACTTGAAAGCGGCAGGTCATCCACCTCCAATGTCTCCACGTCCGAGCGCTGGCGGAAAGAGTCGGGAAGACTTAAGAGTGGCAGGTCCGACGGCTCCAATGTCTCCACGTTCGAGGTGGAGGACATGCTATTCACAAGTCTTCTTGACTCTTCACGCCAGACCTGTCACTCTCAAGGCTTGCAACTCCTCCCGCCGGCGCCCGGCTAAGGAGACACTGGCACTGTTCGATTGCACTTCATTCACAAGTGCAGCCCTTAAAAAGTTTAGTCGAAGTTGGCCCTAGGGTTTGCGATCATGGGGTCACTAAATGCTAGACGCAAATCGATGCCCTCATAATCTAAGGTGATTTGGATAAAGATATGACAGCTGTATAGAGAGTCAAACCCTATACAGTAAAAATCGCGTTGAGACTTAGTAAAACAACCGGGGAAATATGAGCAGGAAATACATAACTGTCCAAAATTGCACGTCTAGATTTTCAGGAAACCTTGGGTGGATAAGAGATAAATAAGTCCAAAATTGCACGTCTATTTTCAATGTTTGGACCCAAGAAATATATAACTGTCCAAAATTGCCGTGAGGACCTGGAGACATTGGAGGTGGAGATATAACTGTCGGTTATATAACGGAAACCGACAGTTGGGTTTCCGTCACCCAATCCACCCGGCCGTGTGCCCTAAATGCAAAATTAATCGTGCGTTCCAGAGCGTTCCCAAACTATGTTGTGCAGCGTTGATGATGAGATGGGCTCGTGTGCAGAATACATCTTCACATCAATACGTATATACAACAACTTAACTCGTCAAACAGGTTCACAAATGATTTCAACTAGAAAGGTTGATTACAATCAAGCACAAGCACGCATTTTATATTTCGCCTAACACACAGGCAAAGGAAAATGGCAAGAGACCTATTTAACTGGATTTCAGAATTTCGTCGTGCTGTCTTTCAAACAGTTGCTCAACTTCTTGAGCAATTGGCTTGAACACAACACAAAAATAACTGTCTTCAGCTTTCACTTATGACAATTTACCTTTGCTGACTCAAGTTTGTGCACCCACTAGTTCCCATGTAGCTCCAATGTAGCTCTCGTGAGTTAGGGCGACCTCGGAGTTGTAAAATGGTTCTTTCCGTTAACGAAACAGAATTACCGGTTTGTACCTGTTGCGAAATTATTCCGCAATCTAGTGTGACTTTATTGAGAAATTTTGAGTTCGCCACGTCACAAAGGACAAGACTCGAGATTCAGTTATTCAACTACTGTCTCGAGTCAAACCCCGAGCACCCCTCAGGATCCCTCGGCACCCCCCAAAACAAACGCGCACCCCTAAGGGGCGCAATCATGCACGCCCCAGTCAGACTACTAACCCCCATAATAACACCCTACGGTACACCACTCGCTCGCATGAAACATTACAAACGAATGGGACTTTCATGGGAAGCTCATTTAAGCATCATTCGAGCTTCATGACAGCTTTTATTTAAGCTTCAGAAGAGCTTCACAAGAACAGTGAAAACGCAACTGAAAATGCACTAACACAAAATGCACTTACAAATGAAAACGAAACACACAGAATGCAAAGGCAAATGCGCACATAACACACGCAAAATGCGCACACACAAAATGCAAAATGAAATGGACATTTCAAGTCCTATCCCTGGCAGGTGGCAGTTTGTGCGAGGTGGCAAACGGATTTCGCGCTTGACACCTGGTGGTGCCGCGCTTACTCGCACTTCCAGCCTGGGGTCAATGTTGAACACATTGTGCGAATTTCATGCGACTGTGTTTCCAACCCAACCTCGTGTCGGAGTACCCAGCTACACGATCGGCTTTCAGCCGGCTACCGTCATCAACCGCCAAGACACCCCACCAACGCATGCCAATTGCCCTCCATGCTTACCTCTGCAGAATGAACAAAGGCAACCAACCAAGTAGTGTTGGTTGAGCCGTAAACCCCGCACCAAACACCACACTTGAGGAAGCGCCATGTAGCCCAGCTTTTATACCGCCGAGTTTCACGTTCCCACGCCCACCATGCTTCACGTTCCCACGCCAAACCAAACACATTCATCTGCCATAGGCGTTGGAGGTATAGACCACCTATTTAATAACCACAATCAGAACACATTGATCAAGTAGAATGGCCGTTAGGGTTGCAACCGTTCTCCTGGCTGGCTGTGGTTTACGTGCTACTCCCAAGTTTTCTTGACATCGCTAAAGCCTACGAAGAGTGGGTTCTTCTACAAGAACGCATGGACTCCATCGGGACAAACGAAAACAGTGAGGCATTGCGCGCTACCGATGAGCGGCGTGATGCGCGCAGGAGGCGCAGGCGAACCCGCATCGTCGAGTGGGAGGAGGACCTCCGCACTATGACGAACGCGGAGTTCCAGCACATGTTCCGCTTCACTCGATACATCTTGGAGTACATCACGCCCGCGATGATGCCCCTGATGGCTGTTTTTGTTCAGCGGCATTCCATCCCCATTGAGCTGTGCTTATTGATACCGATCAAGTATTTTGCAACAGGTCAATCGTACATTGACCTCTCCATCTTCTTCAGCATAACGCGCACCTTACTGCACAGTCTCATCGACGCATTCCTAGTTCACTTCTCGCGGCGCTTCAAACTTGAATGGGTTCACTTTCCAACGCCCGCGCGGACATGGCCGCCGATTTTAAGACCGTCAAAGGTGTGCCCAATGTGATCGGTGCCATCGACGGCACGGAAATTTAGATCCGCGGAATGGAGGGCCACAGACAGGAGTACTATAAGAGGAAATGCCACTATTCCTTGCAACTTCAGGTTACATGCAATGCTAAGGGCATGATATGAGATTATAGGGTGGGCAATCCTACGACTAGGGTGTTTTCATGCAGTCCGCCCTCTCCACATGGCTAGAGCGCAGAGGTTTTGCCCCCTACTAGCTAGTGGGGGATGCGGCCTATCCTCTACGCGACTACTGCTTGACCCCTCTGCATGCTCTTGTTGTGTGATGCAATCATATGCATTCACGTCTCTCTGCCTCCCATCATATGTTCGTGCGTTGTATGCGTGGTGTGAGCGTGTGCAAGAATTTGTGTTTTGTGCGGTTTGGTTTTTCTGAGTGTGTGTGAATGTTATTTGGCTTGAGCAGATATCTGAAGTGACTCCTCTGCTGAAGAGCTTTTCGACGAACCAAGTATCGCTTCAATCAGAGCACGAACAAGAGAGTTACAAACGTTGGAGTTAGAGACACACGTGCACAGACCTGGGTGAACTGCGCAGCTACCTTGGATTGCATATCACTCGGGACAGAGCACGCCGTACCATCACAATGACTCAGTCACACATGGTGCAGCAGGTCCTTCAGCGCTCCAACGTTCGTAACTGCGACTGGACTGACGGAGGACACTCAAAGGAGGGAGGAGGACAAGGAGGAGGCGGCTGACCAAGAACTTGCTGAAGGAGTGGAACGAAGTACGGCCGCGGCTGTGAAGTGCCCCCAGAACCAGCAGAGACAGCACCAGAACCTCCAGATGAACCAGCACCAGCAGCACCTCCAGCAGCTCCAGTACCTCCTGCAACTCCAGCAGCACCTACAGCAGCTCCGGAACCTCCAGCAGCACCTCCAGCAGCTCCAGCACCTCCAGCAGCTCCAGCACCTCCAGCAGCAGTAGGGCCTCCAACGAGCTGTACAGCAGCACCCACAAGCACAAGCGTTGGAGCAGCACCCACAAGCGTTGGAGCAGCACCCACAAGCGTTGGAGCAGCACCCACAAGCGTTGGAGCAGCACCCACAAGCGTTGGAGCAGCACCCACAAGCGTTGGAGCAGCACCTACAAGCGTTGGAGCAGCACCCACAAGCGTTGGAGCAGCACCCACAAGCGTTGGAGCAGCACCCACAAGCGTTGGAGCAGCACCCACAAGCGTTGGAGCAGCACCCACAAGCGTTGGAGCAGCACCCACAAGCGTTGGAGCAGCACCTACAAGCGTTGGAGCAGCACCCACAAGCGTTGGAGCAGCACCCACAAGCGTTGGAGCAGCACCCACAAGCGTTGGAGCAGCACCCACAAGCGTTGGAGCAGCACCCACAAGCGTTGGAGCAGCACCCACAAGCGTTGAAGCAGCACCCACAAGCGTTGGAGCAGCACCCACAAGCGTTGGAGCAGCACCTACAAGCGTTGGATCAGCACCCACAAGCGTTGGAGCAGCACCCACAAGCGTTGGAGCAGCACCCACAAGCGTTGGAGCAGCACCCACAAGCGTTGGAGCAGCACCCACAAGCGTTGGAGCAGCACCCACAAGCGTTGGAGCAGCACCCACAAGCGTTGGAGCAGCACCAACAAGCGTTGGAGCAGCACCCACAAGCGTTGGAGCAGCACCCACAAGCGTTGGAGCAGCACCCACAAGCGTTGGAGCAGCACCCACAAGCGTTGGAGCAGCACCCACAAGCACAAGCGTTGGAGCAGCACCCACAAGCACAAGCGTTGGAGCAGCACCCACAAGCGTTGGAGCAGCACCCACAAGTGTTGGAGCAGCACCCACAAGCGTTGGAGCAGCACCCACAAGCGTTGGAGCAGCACCCACAAGCGTTGGAGCAGCACCCACAAGCGTTGAAGCAGCACCCACAAGCGTTGGAGCAGCACCCACAAGCGTTGGAGCAGCACCTACAAGCGTTGGAGCAGCACCCACAAGCGTTGGAGCAGCACCCACAAGCGTTGGAGCAGCACCCACAAGCGTTGGAGCAGCACCCACAAGCGTTGGAGCAGCACCCACAAGCGTTGGAGCAGCACCCACAAGCGTTGGAGCAGCACCCACAAGCGTTGGAGCAGCACCAACAAGCGTTGGAGCAGCACCCACAAGCGTTGGAGCAGCACCCACAAGCGTTGGAGCAGCACCCACAAGCGTTGGAGCAGCACCCACAAGCGTTGGAGCAGCACCCACAAGCACAAGCGTTGGAGCAGCACCCACAAGCACAAGCGTTGGAGCAGCACCCACAAGCACAAGCGTTGGAGCAGCACCCACAAGCGTTGGAGCAGCACCCACAAGCGTTGGAGCAGCACCCACAAGCGTTGGAGCAGCACCCACAAGCGTTGGAGCAGCACCCACAAGCGTTGGAGGCAGCACCCACAAGCGTTGGAGCAGCACCCACAAGCGTTGGAGGCAGCATCCACAAGCGTTGGAGCAGCACCCACAAGCGTTGGAGCAGCACCCACAAGCATTGGAGCAGCACCCACAAGCGTTGGAGCAGCACCCACAAGCGTTGGAGCAGCACCCACAAGCGTTGGAGCAGCACCCACAAGCACAAGCGTTGGAGCAGCACCCACAAGCACAAGCGTTGGAGCAGCACCCACAAGCACAAGCGGTTGAGCATCACCTACAAGCGTTGGAGCAGCACCCACAAGCGTTGGAGCAGCACCCACAAGCGTTGGAGCAGCACCCACAAGCGTTGGAGCAGCACCCACAAGCGTTGGAGGCAGCACCCACAAGCGTTGGAGCAGCACCCACAAGCGTTGGAGGCAGCACCCACAAGCGTTGGAGCAGCACCCACAAGCGTTGGAGCAGCACCCACAAGCGTTGGAGCAGCACCCACAAGCATTGGAGCAGCACCCACAAGCGTTGGAGCAGCACCCACAAGCGTTGGAGCAGCACCCACAAGCGTTGGAGCAGCACCCACAAGCGTTGGAGCAGCACCCACAAGCGTTGGAGCAGCACCCACAAGCGTTGGAGCAGCACCCACAAGCGTTGGAGCAGCACCCACAAGCGTTGGAGCAGCACCCACAAGCGTTGGAGCAGCACCCACAAGCGTTGGAGCAGCACCCACAAGCGTTGGAGCAGCACCCACAAGCGTTGGAGCAGCACCCACAAGCGTTGGAGCTGCACCTACAAGCGTTGGAGCAGCACCCACAAGCGTTGGAGCAGCACCCACAAGCGTTGGAGCAGCACCCACAAGCGTTGGAGCAGCACCCACAAGCGTTGGAGCAGCACCCACAAGCGTTGGAGCAGCACCCACAAGCGTTGGAGCAGCACCCACAAGCGTTGGAGCAGCACCCACAAGCGTTGGAGCAGCACCCACAAGCGTTGGAGCAGCACCCACAAGCGTTGGAGCAGCACCCACAAGCGTTGGAGCAGCACCCACAAGCGTTGGAGCAGCACCCACAAGCGTTGGAGCAGCACCCACAAGCGTTGGAGCAGCACCCACAAGCGTTGGAGCAGCACCCACAAGCGTTGGAGCAGCACCCACAAGCGTTGAAGCAGCACCCACAAGCGTTGAAGCAGCACCCACAAGCGTTGGAGCAGCACCCACAAGCGTTGGTTGGAGCAGCACTCACAAGCGTTGGAGCAGCACTCACATGCGTTGGAGCAGCACTCACATGCGTTGGAGCAGCACTCACATGCGTTGGAGCAGCACTCACATGCGTTGGAGCAGCACTCACGCCTCACGTACCAGGGAGACAACGTTGCCTTGCCATGAGTCAGTGGTTCCACAGGCGCTGGCGGAGGCCAGCGGTTCCAACCCTTCCCTCCGGAGGTCAGCGGGCACACGGAGGTCAGCGCGCACACGGAGGTCAGTGGTGTTACGAAACGAACTTAGTCTAGATACCGGGGTTTACTTAGAGCCTAGGCTTAGTAGCCTAGGCCAAGCGGGTGTCGAGGTGGTTGTACCAAGGAGAATCAAGAGAATGGAATTGTTTCACTATATGTTTGCAAGAACATATAGCAAAAGAACATAGAGAAGGTGCACCACCAATGTAAGAAGGCATAACTACACTAAAGCTAATGCTACGGGCAGTTATAAACATACATATAGAATATGTTTCGCGACACACCCCCTTAACTGCCTGCAGCACATAACTAGAGCAAGTCACACTCCCGGAACCTGGGCAAGAGGTAGGAGAAGCAGAGGAAATAGCAACACAGATCAACCATGACAAATGCAACAACGGCAGGTGCAGGATCTGAGAGGTGGGCGTGAGAGCAAGCTTCGTGGCTGCAACGAGCAGCTGGACAGTGCGGCTCAGCACCTTCGGGGGCGTGCCTGCTACAAGCAGTAGGTGCAGTGATGGCAGATAAGGCCACAGTGACCTCAGCCACGGCAGATGCAGCAGAAACAGGTGCAGGGCTCGGCAGGTGGACGTGAGAGCAAGCGCTGTGGCTGCAACGAGGAGCTGGACAGCACCGCTCAGCACCTCCGGGGGCGTGCCTGCTACAGGCAACGGCTGCAAATGCCCGACTTACTTCTTCCACCCCCTTACCTGCCCACTCAACCCCTCTGGTGCTGGCGGCTGTTGCTGGTGCTGGTTCCTGGTGCTGGCGCTGGTGCTGGAGGCTGGCGCTGGTGCTGGTTCCTGGTGCTGGCGTGACGGTGCTGGTGTCGGTGCCTGGTGCTGGCGTGACGGCGCCGGTGACTGGCGTCGGGGCTTGGTGCTGGTGTGATGGCGCTGGTGACTGGCGTCGGGGCTGGTGCTGGCGGCTGTTTACAGGTGGGGCAGCGGGTACGGGTGAGGAGGCGGCTTACAGGTGGAACGGCGGGTACGGGTGAGGCGGGGGGTACAGGTGGGGGCAGCGGTTTCCGGGTGGGGCGGTGGGAATATGACGAAATGGTAGTAGCGGGCACGGCAGATGCAGGCGGGGCAGGAACGGGTCGCGCGGGTGCGGGTCGTGGGTCACAGGCGGGCTTGCTGGCGCCCTCGTTGGCGGGTCTGACGGCGGGTCCGTCGGCGGTCTTGCTGGCGGGCTTGTTGGCAGGTTCGACGGCGGGTTTGTCGGCGGGCCCTGTGACGAGCCCGTGGGCGGGTCCGTCGGCGGGCTTGCTGAAGGCGGGTTCGCGAGTCCGCAGGCTCACTTGCTGACAGGTCCGCAGATCCGCTGTCTCTCTTGCTCGCGGGTCCGCGGGTGAACTGGGGGGGCCGAAACAGTGGGGCGCGACGAGCGCCGCCGCGCAGCTTGTCATCGTCGTGCAGCTTGTTGCCGTCGCGCAGCTTGTCGCCGTCGCGCAGCTTGTCGCCGTCGCGCAGCAGCAGTGGGTCGTCGAGCCGTTGGGGCGACGGGCGAACAACGGGCGGGGCCAGCGATACGCGTAACGGGCTGCGCAACAACCTGATCGACGGGGCGCATCATAGCGACAGCTGGTGGTGGGCCCATTGACTTAGGAGTAGGGTCCTACTAGTAGCTCTGATACCATGTTACGAAACGAACTTAGTCTAGGAACCGGGGTTTACTAAGGGCCTAGGCTTAGTAGCCTAGGCCAAGCGGGTGTCGAGGTGGTTGTACCAAGGAGAATCGAGAGAATGGAATTGTTTCACTATAGGTTTGCAAGAACATAGAGCAAAACAACATAGAGAAGGTGCACCACCAATGTAAGAAGGCATAACTATACTAAAGTTAATGCTACAGGCAGTTTATGATACATATAAAATATGTATCGCGACAAGTGGGCACACGGAGGTCAGCGGGCACAGTGGAGTGTGGGGGGAGGGAAGCCACACGGGGAGGGGCATGGGGGCACGCAGGGACCGGAAGAGGGTTGTGCGACAGATGAGCGAGGGTTGTTGGGAGAGGGGATGCGAAGAGGGAGTGGAGGGAGGAAAGGGAGGGAAAGGAGGGAAGGCGGGGTGATAACAAGGTAGTAGCATAGGAAGGGGGGCATGGAGAGGCAAAGAGGGGGCAGGGAGAGGCGGAACAACGATGTTAAGGGTGATTTGTGTGTTGAGAAGAGCGATTGACCGTTGTAGGAAATGCGCAACGGCTAGAGCGCTTCTGAGGAACGCGGTGAAAGACGGTCAAAGTGGCATTGGAGAATCTTTGCATGGAGAATCTCGCACCACCCCTGCATGCCGCCGCACCACCGCCCCATACCTTCCCATACCGTCGCATCACCCCATACCACCCCATTCCCACACCACTCCATGCTGCCTCCCCACTCGCTCGGGCGCACTCACAGTCTGCCGTCTGTACTCGCTGTGCCGCCACCAGCATGAAGCGCAGGCAGAAGCAAGTGAGCAGCAGCAGTGGGAGCACGGGGAGCAGGAGATGAGTCTGCGTTTTGGTAAGGCCAGCAGGTAGGACGAAAGGGTAGGGGGAGGGGAGGGAATGAAACCGCGGGAAGGGAAGGCAGAAGCGAGGCAGAGGGAGAGCGCTGGGATGCAGGAGAGAGCGAGCACCCCCACTCCCCATGGCACCACCCCCACTCCCCATGGCACCACCCCCACTCCCTGACACCACCCCCACTCCCCATGGCACCACCCCACTCCCCATGGCACCACACCCACTCCCCATGGCACCACCCCCACTCCCCATGGCACCACCCCCACTCCCCATGGCACCACCCCCACTCCCCATGACACCACCCCCACTCCCCATGGCACCACCCCCACTCCCCATGGCACCACCCCCAATCCCCATGGCACCACCCCCACTCCCCATGGCTCGACCCCCACTCCCCATGGCACCACCCCCACTCCCCATGGCACCACCCCCACTCCCCATGGCACCACCCCCACTCCCTATGGCACCACCCCCACTCCCTATGGAACCACCCCCACTCCCCATGGCACCACCCCCACTCCCCATGACACCACCCCCACTCCCTATGGCACCACCCCCACTCCCCATGGCGCCACCCCCACTCCCCATGGCACCACCCCCACTCCCCATGGCACCACCCCCACTCCCCATGGCACCACCCCCACTCCCCATGGCACCACCTCCACTCCCCATGGCATCACCCCCACTCCCCATGGCACCACCCCTACTCCCCATGACACCACCCCCACTCCCCATGGCACCACCCCCACTCCCCATGACACCACCCCCACTCCCCATGGCACCACCCCCACTCCCCATGGCACCACCCCCACTCCCTGACACCACCCCCACTCCCCATGGCACCACACCCACTCCCCATGGCACCACACCCACTCCCCATGGCACCACCCCCACTCCCCATGGCACCACCCCCACTCCCCATGGCACCACCCCCACTCCCCATGACACCACCCCCACTCCCCATGGCACCACCCCCACTCCCCATGGCACCACCCCCACTCCCCATGATACCACCCCCACTCCCCATGGCACCACCCCCCACTCCCCATGGCGCCACCCCCACTCCCCATGGCACCACCCCCACTCCCCATGGCACCACACCCACTCCCCATGGCACCACCCCCACTCCCCATGGCACCACCCCCACTCCCATGGCACCACCCCCACTCCCCATGACACCACCCCCACTCCCCATGGCACCACCCCCACTCCCCATGACACCACCCCCACTCCCCATGGCACCACCACCACTCCCCATGGCACCACCCGCACTCCCTGACACCACCCCCACTCCCCATGGCACCACACCCACTCCCCATGGCACCACACCCACTCCCCATGGCACCACCCCCACTCCCCATGGCACCACCCCCACTCCCCATGGCACCACCCCCACTCCCCATGACACCACCCCCACTCCCCATGGCACCACCCCCACTCCCCATGGCACCACCCCCTCTCCCCATGACACCACCCCCACTCCCCATAGCACCACCCCCACTCCCCATGGCACCACCCCCACTCCCCATGGCACCACCCCCACTCCCCATGGCTCGACCCCCACTCCCCATGGCACCACCCCCACTCCCCATGGCACCACCCCCACTCCCCATGGCACCACCCCCACTCCCTATGGCACCACCCCCACTCCCCATGGAACCACCCCCACTCCCCATGGCACCACCCCCACTCCCCATGACACCACCCCCACTCCCCATGGCACCACCCCCACTCCCCATGGCGCCACCCCCACTCCCCATGGCACAACCCCCACTCCCCATGGCACCACCCCCACTCCCCATGGCACCACCCCCACTCCCCATGGCACCACCCCCACTCCCCATGGCACCACCCCCACTCCCCATGACACCACCCCCACTCCCCATGGCACCACCCCCACTCCCCATGACACCACCCCCACTCCCCATGGCACCACCCCCACTCCCCATGGCGCCACCCCCACTCCCCATGGCACCACCCCCACTCCCCATGGCACCACCCCCACTCCCCATGGCACCACCCCCACTCCCCATGGCACCACCCCCACTCCCCATGGCACCACCCCCACTCCCCATGACACCACCCCCACTCCCCATGGCACCACCCCCACTCCCCATGACACCACCCCCACTCCCATGGCACCACCACCACTCCCCATGGCACCACCCGCACTCCCTGACACCACCCCCACTCCCCATGGCACCACACCCACTCCCCATGGCACCACACCCACTCCCCATGGCACCACCCCCACTCCCCATGGCACCACCCCCACTCCCCATGGCACCACCCCCACTCCCCATGACACCACCCCCACTCCCCATGGCACCACCCCCACTCCCCATGGCACCACCCCCACTCCCCATGACACCACCCCCACTCCCCATAGCACCACCCCCACTCCCCATGGCACCACCCCCACTCCCCATGGCACCACCCCCACTCCCCATGGCACCACCCCCACTCCCCATGACACCACCCCCACTCCCCATGGCACCACCACCACTCCCCATGGCACCACCCGCACTCCCTGACACCACCCCCACTCCCCATGGCACCACCCCCACTCCCCATGACACCACCCCCACTCCCCATGGCACCACCCCCACTCCCCATGGCACCACCCCCACTCCCCATGACACCACCCCCACTCCCCATGGCACCACCCCCACTCCCCATGGCACCAACCCCACTCCCCATGGCACCACCCCCACTCCCCATGGCTCGACCCCCACTCCCCATGGCACCACCCCCACTCCCCATGGCACCACCCCCACTCCCCATGGCACCACCCCCACTCCCCATGGCACCACCCCCACTCCCTATGGCACCACCCCCACTCCCCATGGAACCACCCCCACTCCCCATGGCACCACCCCCACTCCCCATGACACCACCCCCACTCCCCATGGCACCACCCCCACTCCCCATGGCGCCACCCCCACTCCCCATGGCACCAACCCCACTCCCCATGGCACCACCCCCACTCCCCATGGCACCACCCCCACTCCCCATGGCACCACCTCCACTCCCCATGGCATCACCCCCACTCCCCATGGCACCACCCCTACTCCCCATGACACCACCCCCACTCCCCATGGCACCACCCCCACTCCCCATGACACCACCCCCGCTCCCCATGGCACCACCCCCACTCCCCATGGCACCACCCCCACTCCCTGACACCACCCCCACTCCCCATGGCACCACACCCACTCCCCATGGCACCACACCCACTCCCCATGGCACCACCCCCACTCCCCATGGCACCACCCCCACTCCCCATGGCACCACCCCCACTCCCCATGGCACCACCCCCACTCCCTATGGCACCACCCCCACTCCCCATGGAACCACCCCCACTCCCCATGGCACCACCCCCACTCCCCATGACACCACCCCCACTCCCCATGGCACCACCCCCACTCCCCATGGCGCCACCCCCACTCCCCATGGCACCAACCCCACTCCCCATGGCACCACCCCCACTCCCCATGGCACCACCCCCACTCCCCATGGCACCACCTCCACTCCCCATGGCATCACCCCCACTCCCCATGGCACCACCCCTACTCCCCATGACACCACCCCCACTCCCCATGGCACCACCCCCACTCCCCATGGCACCACACCCACTCCCCATGGCACCACCCCCACTCCCCATGGCACCACCCCCACTCCCCATGGCTCGACCCCCACTCCCCATGGCACCACCCCCACTCCCCATGGCACCACCCCCACTCCCCATGGCACCACCCCCACTCCCTATGGCACCACCCCCACTCCCCATGGAACCACCCCCACTCCCCATGGCACCACACCCACTCCCCATGGCACCACCCCCACTCCCCATGGCACCACCCCCACTCCCCATGGCACCACCCCCACTCCCCATGACACCACCCCCACTCCCCATGGCACCACCCCCACTCCCCATGGCACCACCCCCTCTCCCCATGACACCACCCCCACTCCCCATAGCACCACCCCCACTCCCCATGGCACCACCCCCACTCCCCATGGCACCACCCCCACTCCCCATGGCTCGACCCCCACTCCCCATGGCACCACCCCCACTCCCCATGGCACCACCCCCACTCCCCATGGCACCACCCCCACTCCCTATGGCACCACCCCCACTCCCCATGGAACCACCCCCACTCCCCATGGCACCACCCCCACTCCCCATGACACCACCCCCACTCCCCATGGCACCACCCCCACTCCCCATGGCGCCACCCCCACTCCCCATGGCACCACCCCCACTCCCCATGGCACCACCCCCACTCCCCATGGCACCAACCCCACTCCCCATGGCACCACCCCCACTCCCCATGGCACCACCCCCACTCCCCATGACACCACCCCCACTCCCATGGCACCACCCCCACTCCCCATGACACCACCCCCACTCCCCATGGCACCACCCCCACTCCCCATGGCGCCACCCCCACTCCCCATGGCACCACCCCCACTCCCCATGGCACCACCCCCACTCCCCATGGCACCACCCCCACTCCCCATGGCACCACCCCCACTCCCCATGGCACCACCCCCACTCCCCATGACACCACCCCCACTCCCCATGGCACCACCCCCACTCCCCATGATACCACCCCCACTCCCCATGGCACCACCACCACTCCCCATGGCACCACCCGCACTCCCTGACACCACCCCCACTCCCCATGGCACCACACCCACTCCCCATGGCACCACACCCACTCCCCATGGCACCACCCCCACTCCCCATGGCACCACCCCCACTCCCCATGGCACCACCCCCACTCCCCATGACACCACCCCCACTCCCCATGGCACCACCCCCACTCCCCATGGCACCACCCCTACTCCCCATGACACCACCCCCACTCCCCATAGCACCACCCCCACTCCCCATGGCACCACCCCCACTCCCCATGGCACCACCCCCACTCCCCATGGCACCACCCCCACTCCCCATGGCACCACCCCCACTCCCCATGGCACCACCCCCACTCCCCATGGCACCACCCCCACTCCCTATGGCACCACCCCCACTCCCCATGGAACCACCCCCACTCCCCATGGCACCACCCCCACTCCCCATGACACCACCCCCACTCCCCATGGCACCACCCCCACTCCCCATGGCGCCACCCCCACTCCCCATGGCATCAACCCCACTCCCCATGGCACCACCCCCACTCCCCATGGCACCACCCCCACTCCCCATGGCACCACCTCCACTCCCCATGGCATCACCCCCACTCCCCATGGCACCACCCCTACTCCCCATGACACCACCCCCACTCCCCATGGCACCACCCCCACTCCCCATGACACCACCCCCGCTCCCCATGGCACCAGCCCCACTCCCCATGGCACCACCCCCACTCCCTGACACCACCCCCACTCCCCATGGCACCACACCCACTCCCCATGGCACCACACCCACTCCCCATGGTACCACCCCCACTCCCCATGGCACCACCCCCACTCCCCATGGCACCACCCCCACTCCCCATGACACCACCCCCACTCCCCATGGCACCACCCCCACTCCCCATGGCACCACCCCCACTCCCCATGACACCACCCCCACTCCCCATGGCACCACCCCCACTCCCCATGGCACCAACCCCACTCCCCATGGCACCACCCCCACTCCCCATGGCTCGACCCCCACTCCCCATGGCACCACCCCCACTCCCCATGGCACCACCCCCACTCCCCATGGCACCACCCCCACTCCCCATGGCACCACCCCCACTCCCCATGGCACCACCCCCACTCCCCATGACACCACCCCCACTCCCCATGGCACCACCCCCACTCCCCATGGCACCACCCCCACTCCCCATGGCACCACCCCCACTCCCCATGGCACCACCCCCACTCCCCATGACACCACCCCCACTCCCCATGGCACCACCCCCACTCCCCATGACACCACCCCCACTCCCTATGGCACCACCCCCACTCCCCATGGCGCCACCCCCACTCCCCATGGCACCACCCCCACTCCCCATGGCACCACCCCCACTCCCCATGGCACCACCCCCACTCCCCATGGCACCACCTCCACTCCCCATGGCATCACCCCCACTCCCCATGGCACCACCCCTACTCCCCATGACACCACCCCCACTCCCCATGGCACCACCCCCACTCCCCATGACACCACCCCCACTCCCCATGGCACCACCCCCACTCCCCATGGCACCACCCCCACTCCCCATGATACCACCCCCACTCCCCATGGCACCACCCCCACTCCCCATGACACCACCCCCACTCCCTATGGCACCACCCCCACTCCCCATGGAACCACCCCACTCCCCATGGCACCACCCCCACTCCCCATGACACCACCCCCACTCCCTATGGCACCACCCCCACTCCCCATGGCGCCACCCCCACTCCCCATGGCACCACCCCCACTCCCCATGGCACCACCCCCACTCCCCATGGCACCACCTCCACTCCCCATGGCATCACCCCCACTCCCCATGGCACCACCCCTACTCCCCATGACACCACCCCCACTCCCCATGGCACCACCCCCACTCCCCATGACACCACCCCCACTCCCCATGGCACCACCCCCACTCCCCATGACACCACCCCCACTCCCCATGGCACCACCCCCACTCCCCATGGCACCACCCCCACTCCCATGGCACCACCCCACTCCCCATGACACCACCCCCACTCCCCATGGCATCACCCCCACTCCCCATGGCACCACCCCCACTCCCCATGGCACCACCCCCACTCCCCATGGCACCACCCCCACTCCCCATGACACCACCCCCACTCCCCATGGCACCACCCCCACTCCCCATGACACCACCCCCACTCCCTATGGCACCACCCCCACTCCCCATGGCGCCACCCCCACTCCCCATGGCACCACCCCCACTCCCCATGGCACCACCCCCACTCCCCATGGCACCACCCCCACTCCCCATGGCACCACCTCCACTCCCCATGGCACCACCCCCACTCCCCATGGCACCACCCCTACTCCCCATGACACCACCCCCACTCCCCATGGCACCACCCCCACTCCCCATGACACCACCCCCACTCCCCATGGCACCACCCCCACTCCCCATGGCACCACCCCCACTCCCCATGATACCACCCCCACTCCCCATGGCACCACCCCCACTCCCCATGACACCACCCCACTCCCTATGGCACCACCCCCACTCCCCATGGAACCACCCCCACTCCCCATGGCACCACCCCCACTCCCCATGACACCACCCCCACTCCCTATGGCACCACCCCCACTCCCCATGGCGCCACCCCCACTCCCCATGGCACCACCCCCACTCCCCATGGCACCACCCCCACTCCCCATGGCACCACCTCCACTCCCCATGGCATCACCCCCACTCCCCATGGCACCACCCCTACTCCCCATGACACCACCCCCACTCCCCATGGCACCACCCCCACTCCCCATGACACCACCCCCACTCCCCATGGCACCACCCCCACTCCCCATGGCACCACCCCCACTCCCTGACACCACCCCCACTCCCCATGGCACCACACCCACTCCCCATGGCACCACACCCACTCCCCATGGCACCACCCCCACTCCCCATGGCACCACCCCCACTCCCCATGGCACCACCCCCACTCCCCATGACACCACCCCCACTCCCCATGGCACCACCCCCACTCCCCATGGCACCACCCCCACTCCCCATGACACCACCCCCACTCCCCATGGCACCACCCCCACTCCCCATGGCACCAACCCCACTCCCCATGGCACCACCCCCACTCCCCATGGCTCGACCCCCACTCCCCATGGCACCACCCCCACTCCCCATGGCACCACCCCCACTCATTATGGCACCACCCCCACTCCCCATGGCACCACCCCCACTCCCCATGGCACCACCCCCACTCCCCATGACACCACCCCCACTCCCCATGGCACCACCCCCACTCCCCATGGCACCACCCCCACTCCCCATGGCACCACCCCCACTCCCCATGGCACCACCCCCACTCCCCATGACACCACCTCCACTCCCCATGGCACCACCCCCACTCCCCATGACACCACCCCCACTCCCTATGGCACCACCCCCACTCCCCATGGCGCCACCCCCACTCCCCATGGCACCACCCCCACTCCCCATGGCACCACCCCCACTCCCCATGGCACCACCCCCACTCCCCATGGCACCACCCCCACTCCCCATGGCACCACCCCCACTCCCCATGATACCACCCCCACTCCCCATGGCACCACCCCCACTCCCCATGACACCACCCCCACTCCCTATGGCACCACCCCCACTCCCCATGGCACCACCCCCACTCCCCATGGCACCACCTCCACTCCCCATGGCATCACCCCCACTCCCCATGGCACCACCCCTACTCCCCATGACACCACCCCCACTCCCCATGGCACCACCCCCACTCCCCATGACACCACCCCCACTCCCCATGGCACCACCCCCACTCCCCATGGCACCACCCCCACTCCCCATGATACCACCCCCACTCCCCATGGCACCACCCCCACTCCCCATGACACCACCCCCACTCCCTATGGCACCACCCCCACTCCCCATGGAACCACCCCCACTCCCCATGGCACCACCCCCACTCCCCATGACACCACCCCCACTCCCTATGGCACCACCCCCACTCCCCATGGCGCCACCCCCACTCCCCATGGCACCACCCCCACTCCCCATGGCACCACCCCCACTCCCCATGGCACCACCTCCACTCCCCATGGCATCACCCCCACTCCCCATGGCACCACCCCTACTCCCCATGACACCACCCCCACTCCCCATGGCACCACCCCCACTCCCCATGACACCACCCCCACTCCCCATGGCACCACCCCCACTCCCCATGGCACCACCCCCACTCCCTGACACCACCCCCACTCCCCATGGCACCACACCCACTCCCCATGGCACCACACCCACTCCCCATGGCACCACCCCCACTCCCCATGGCACCACCCCCACTCCCCATGGCACCACCCCCACTCCCCATGACACCACCCCCACTCCCCATGGCACCACCCCCACTCCCGGTGGCACCACCCCCACTCCCTATGACACCACCCCCACTCCCCATGGCACCACCCCCACTCCCCATGGCACCAACCCCACTCCCCATGGCACCACCCCCACTCCCCATGGCTCGACCCCCACTCCCCATGGCACCACCCCCACTCCCCATGGCACCACCCCCACTCATTATGGCACCACCCCCACTCCCCATGGCACCACCCCCACTCCCCATGGCACCACCCCCACTCCCCATGACACCACCCCCACTCCCCATGGCACCACCCCCACTCCCCATGGCACCACCCCCACTCCCCATGGCACCACCCCCACTCCCCATGGCACCACCCCCACTCCCCATGACACCACCTCCACTCCCCATGGCACCACCCCCACTCCCCATGACACCACCCCCACTCCCTATGGCACCACCCCCACTCCCCATGGCGCCACCCCCACTCCCCATGGCACCACCCCCACTCCCCATGGCACCACCCCCACTCCCCATGGCACCACCCCCACTCCCCATGGCACCACCTCCACTCCCCATGGCATCACCCCCACTCCCCATGGCACCACCCCTACTCCCCATGACACCACCCCCACTCCCCATGGCACCACCCCCACTCCCCATGACACCACCCCCACTCCCCATGGCACCACCCCCACTCCCCATGGCACCACCCCCACTCCCCATGACACCACCCCCACTCCCCATGGCACCACCCCCACTCCCCATGACACCACCCCCACTCCCTATGGCACCACCCCCACTCCCCATGGAACCACCCCCACTCCCCATGGCACCACCCCCACTCCCCATGACACCACCCCCACTCCCTATGGCACCACCCCCACTCCCCATGGCGCCACCCCCACTCCCCATGGCACCACCCCCACTCCCCATGGCACCACCCCCACTCCCCATGGCACCACCCCCACTCCCCATGGCACCATCTCCACTCCCCATGGCATCACCCCCACTCCCCATGGCACCACCCCTACTCCCCATGACACCACCCCCACTCCCCATGGCACCACCCCCACTCCCCATGACACCACCCCCACTCCCCATGGCACCACCCCCACTCCCCATGGCACCACCCCCACTCCCTGACACCACCCCCACTCCCCATGGCACCACACCTACTCCCCATGGCACAAAACCCACTCCCCATGGCACCACCCCCACTCCCCATGGCACCAACCCCACTCCCCATGGCACCACCCCCACTCCCTGACACCACCCCCACTCCCCATGGCACCACACCCACTCCCCATGGCACCACACCCACTCCCCATGGCACCACCCCCACTCCCCATGGCACCACCCCCACTCCCCATGGCACCACCCCCACTCCCCATGACACCACCCCCACTCCCCATGGCACCACCCCCACTCCCCATGGCACCACCCCCACTCCCCATGACACCACCCCCACTCCCCATGGCACCACCCCCACTCCCCATGGCACCACCCCCACTCCCCATGGCACCACCCCCACTCCCCATGGCACCACACCCACTCCCCATGGCACCACCCCCACTCCCCATGGCACCACCCCCACTCCCCATGGCACCACCCCCACTCCCCATGACACCACCCCCACTCTCCATGGCACCACCCCCACTCCCCATGACACCACCCCCACTCCCCATGGCACCATCCCCACTCCCCATGGCACCACCCCCACTCCCCATGGCACCACACCCACTCCCCATGGCACCACCCCCACTCCCCATGGCACCACCCCCACTCCCCATGGCACCACCCCCACTCCCCATGACACCACCCCCACTCCCCATGGCACCACCCCCACTCCCCATGACACCACCCCCACTCCCCATGGCACCACCCCCACTCCCCATGGCACCACCCCCACTCCCTGACACCACCCCCACTCCCCATGGCACCACACCCACTCCCCATGGCACCACACCCACTCCCCATGGCACCACCCCCACTCCCCATGGCACCACCCCCACTCCCCATGGCACCACCCCCACTCCCCATGACACCACCCCCACTCCCCATGGCACCACCCCCACTCCCCATGGCACCACACCCACTCCCCATGGCACCACACCCACTCCCCATGGCACCACCCCCACTCCCCATGGCACCACCCCCACTCCCCATGGCACCACCCCCACTCCCCATGGCACCACCCACACTCCCCATGGCACCACCCCCACTCCCCATGACACCACCCCCACTCCCCATGGCACCACCCCCACTCCCCATGACACCACCCCCACTCCCCATGGCACCACCCCCACTCCCCATGGCACCACCCCCACTCCCTGACACCACCCCCACTCCCCATGGCACCACACCCACTCCCCATGGCACCACACCCACTCCCCATGGCACCACCCCCACTCCCCATGGCACCACCCCCACTCCCCATGGCACCACCCCCACTCCCCATGACACCACCCCCACTCCCCATGGCACCACCCCCACTCCCCATGGCACCACACCCACTCCCCATAGCACCACACCCACTCCCCATGGCACCACCCCCACTCCCCATGGCACCACCCCCACTCCCCATGGCACCACCCCCACTCCCCATGACACCACCCCCACTCCCCATGGCACCACCCCCACTCCCCATGGCACCACCCCCACTCCCCATGACACCACCCCCACTCCCTGACACCACCCCCACTCCCCATGGCACCACACCCACTCCCCATGGCACCACACCCACTCTCCATGGCACCACCCCCACTCCCCATGGCACCACCCCCACTCCCCATGACACCACCCCCACTCCCCATGGCACCACCCCCACTCCCCATGGCACCACACCCACTCCCCATAGCACCACACCCACTCCCCATGGCACCACCCCCACTCCCCATGGCACCACCCCCACTCCCCATGGCACCACCCCCACTCCCCATGACACCACCCCCACTCCCCATGGCACCACCCCCACTCCCCATGGCACCACCCCCACTCCCCATGACACCACCCTCACTCCCCATGGCACCACCCCCACTCCCCATGACACCACCCCCACTCCCCATGGCACCACCCCCACTCCCCATGGCACCACCCCCACTCCCTGACACCACCCCCACTCCCCATGGCACCACACCCACTCCCCATGGCACCACACCCACTCCCCATGGCACCACCCCCACTCCCCATGGCACCACCCCCACTCCCCATGGCACCACCCCCACTCCCCATGACACCACCCCCACTCCCCATGGCACCACCCCCACTCCCCATGGCACCACACCCACTCCCCATAGCACCACACCCACTCCCCATGGCACCACCCCCACTCCCCATGGCACCACCCCCACTCCCCATGGCACCACCCCCACTCCCCATGACACCACCCCCACTCCCCATGGCACCACCCCCACTCCCCATGGCACCACCCCCACTCCCCATGACACCACCCCCACTCCCCATGGCACCACCCCCACTCCCCATGGCACCACCCCCACTCCCCATGGCACCACCCCCACTCCCCATGGCTCGACCCCCACTCCCCATGGCACCACCCCCACTCCCCATGGCACCACCCCCACTCCCCATGGCACCACCCCCACTCCCTATGGCACCACCCCCACTCCCCATGGAACCACCCCCACTCCCCATGGCACCACCCCCACTCCCCATGACACCACCCCCACTCCCTATGGCACCACCCCCACTCCCCATGGCGCCACCCCCACTCCCCATGGCACCACCCCCACTCCCCATGGCACCACCCCCACTCCCCATGGCACCACCCCCACTCCCCATGGCACCACCTCCACTCCCCATGGCATCACCCCCACTCCCCATGGCACCACCCCTACTCCCCATGACACCACCCCCACTCCCCATGGCACCACCCCCACTCCCCATGACACCACCCCCACTCCCCATGGCACCACCCCCACTCCCTGACACCACCCCCACTCCCCATGGCACCACACCCACTCCCCATGGCACCACACCCACTCCCCATGGCACCACCCCCACTCCCCATGGCACCAACCCCACTCCCCATGGCACCACCCCCACTCCCTGATACCACCCCCACTCCCCATGGCACCACACCCACTCCCCATGGCACCACACCCACTCCCCATGGCACCACCCCCACTCCCCATGCCACCACCCCCACTCCCCATGGCACCACCCCCACTCCCCATGACACCACCCCCACTCCCCATGACACCACCCCCACTCCCCATGGCACCACCCTCACTCCCCATGACACCACCCCCACTCCCCATGGCACCACCCCCACTCCCCATGGCACCACCCCCACTCCCCATGGCACCACCCCCACTTCCCATGGCACCACACCCACTCCCCATGGCACCACCCCCACTCCCCATGGCACCACCCCCACTCCCCATGGCACCACCCCCACTCCCCATGACACCACCCCCACTCCCCATGGCACCACCCCCACTCCCCATGACACCACCCCCACTCCCCATGGCACCACCCCCACTCCCCATGGCACCACCCCCACTCCCCATGGCACCACACCCACTCCCCATGGCACCACCCCCACTCCCCATGGCACCACCCCCACTCCCCATGGCACCACCCCCACTCCCCATGACACCACCCCCACTCCCCATGGCACCACCCCCACTCCCCATGACACCACCCCCACTCCCCATGGCACCACCCCCACTCCCCATGGCACCACCCCCACTCCCTGACACCACCACCACTCCCCATGGCACCACACCCACTCCCCATGGCACCACACCCACTCCCCATGGCACCACCCCCACTCCCCATGGCACCACCCCCACTCCCCATGGCACCACCCCCACTCCCCATGACACCACCCCCACTCCCCATGGCACCACACCCACTCCCCATGGCACCACACCCACTCCCCATGGCACCACACCCACTCCCCATGGCACCACCCCCACTCCCCATGGCACCACCCCCACTCCCCATGGCACCACCCCCACTCCCCATGACACCACCCCCACTCCCCATGGCACCACACCCACTCCCCATGGCACCACCCCCACTCCCCATGACACCACCCCCACTCCCCATGGCACCACCCCCACTCCCCATGGCACCACCCCCACTCCCCATGACACCACCCCCACTCCCCATGACACCACCCCCACTCCCCATGGCACCACCCCCACTCCCCATGACACCACCCCCACTCCCCATGGCACCACCCCCACTCCCCATGGCACCACCCCCACTCCCCATGGCACCACCCCCACTTCCCATGGCACCACACCCACTCCCCATGGCACCACCCCCACTCCCCATGGCACCACCCCCACTCCCCATGGCACCACCCCCACTCCCCATGACACCACCCCCACTCCCCATGGCACCACCCCCACTCCCCATGACACCACCCCCACTCCCCATGGCACCACCCCCACTCCCCATGGCACCACCCCCACTCCCCATGGCACCACACCCACTCCCCATGGCACCACCCCCACTCCCCATGGCACCACCCCCACTCCCCATGGCACCACCCCCACTCCCCATGACACCACCCCCACTCCCCATGGCACCACCCCCACTCCCCATGACACCACCCCCACTCCCCATGGCACCACCCCCACTCCCCATGGCACCACCCCCACTCCCTGACACCACCCCCACTCCCCATGGCACCACACCCACTCCCCATGGCACCACACCCACTCCCCATGGCACCACCCCCACTCCCCATGGCACCACCCCCACTCCCCATGGCACCACCCCCACTCCCCATGACACCACCCCCACTCCCCATGGCACCACACCCACTCCCCATGGCACCACACCCACTCCCCATGGCACCACACCCACTCCCCATGGCACCACCCCCACTCCCCATGGCACCACCCCCACTCCCCATGGCACCACCCCCACTCCCCATGACACCACCCCCACTCCCCATGGCACCACCCCCACTCCCCATGGCACCACCCCCACTCCCCATGACACCACCCCCACTCCCCATGGCACCACCCCCACTCCCCATGGCACCACCCCCACTCCCCATGGCACCACACCCACTCCCCGTCCCTATGGCATTGTGCGAAGCTCTGAACATTGCGAGGTTCCGATTTTGCACACTAGGCTCGGCTGGTGTTCTGGTTCCTAGGCGAGCCGTTTGGTGTGGAACGCGTAAACTTCGGAGGTCCGTGCATTTAGTCTGGTTTCTGGTTTGGGGGCCGACATTTTAGGGGTCACCTGGTTCCTCCACGATTTTGTGTTCGTGGGTGCGTGCTGGAGGTACGCCTGCTAGTAGGTCGTCGGGCATTATATCCTCGTACTGCTCCAAGACCTCCGTCACTGCTGCAGGTAGCTCGATATTTGGCTTCTCCTCCTCTACTGCTGCCATAACCAGAGCTAAGTAACCCGTGTTACTCTCGTTCACCGTTCGTTCGAACCATGCCAGTGTCGTTTCAGGAACACTCCCTGTATTCGTCCAGCTTTGCAGCTCCACTCGTTTCCCGTTGTTGTAGATGCACGCCTTCCTGTTCACCCAGTCGATCTCGGGGCTGAACCGCTTCAAGAAATCTCGCCCCAAGATGAAATCTAAACCCTTGATGTTCGTGATCGGCATTGTCGGCTTCCACCTCAGCGCCCCTATGTGCAGCTGCAGTGATGCTTCGCCGTGGATGGGAAGTTCCGTACTGTCCATCATCGTTGCCGTGAACTTGGTCTCCTCTAAAGATTCTCCAATTTTCTCCAACGTCCCGCGGTCGCACACCGAGTGAGACGCACTGCTGTCCACTAGTGCATGGAGGCGACGCCCGTTGCAGATCACCTCAAGTAGTAGTGGCTGTTGCTGCTTCAAGTAACTGTAGATGGTCTCGCTTGTAGGATCGTAGGGTACGTCGAATAGATCATCCCTCGGTCCTGCGCTCGAAGCTGCTGACTCCATATCAGTTTCCAACTGAGCAGGGCTAGAAGGATTTATCCGAGGCTGATTCAGCTTCATCTTGGCCTGGAACCTTTCCATAAGCCTTTGCAGCTGTGTAGGCTTCCCCTGTGGGCAATGGGGAGCCTTAACACTGTGCTGCGGGGAGAGAATATTAACTCCTTGGAACGCACGACCCTTTTCAACGCTCCGGAGTGGTTTGCCCAACTTCTTAGGTACCTGAATAATGTCTGAGGGCTTTTTCTTGGCCTCGAAATCTTCCCTTAATTGTTTAAAGGCTTGAAAACCTCGAGAGGAAATATTCTTACTCTCAGGGGTGTTAGGCTGGAGTTTCCCGGTCGGTGCAGAGTCTTGTTTCGCGGAGCCTCCATTTGTCTCGGCGATTTCCCCTTTTGTCGGCCGGTCGTGGAGTTTTATATTCGCGCCATCGTGTTCTCCTTTTTTCGCCATCATGGATGTTGCACTGTTGTTGGCCTGCTGCTCCGCTCGTGCCTTCTTTATTTTCCAACACGCCAAGAGTCGATGTCCTGATGCGCCGCAAAATTCGCACTTCTCATATTTTGTTGGCCGCTACTTCGCGTCAATCTTGTGGATATCCATCGGGTCGGCGGTCATGGGTGGTGCCGATCGCTCCGTGCCGAATGATCTGTTTGGCACGCGTTGTCGTGTTTCGAGTTGATCTTGCATCAACGCATCGAATCTCTTTACTGCACACACCATGTCGCGGTAGTTGTTGTAGTTCGCGGCAATCACCTGTTGGCGGACTTCCATTTTTAGCCCCTCTATATACGCTTGGATTTCTTCCCCTTCGGTCAAATTGGTAATTCGGTTGAAGAGGCTTTCCATCTGCTGCGTGTACTTGTGAGAATAAACGAACAGGGAATGAACGAACTAGCAGTGAAATGAGTACAAGTAGGAAACCCTAGAATTGTGTACCCCCTATAGGCTAACCCACTGTAGCCTACACAAGCATAACATATATAATGTTTGACACACCCCCATAGGCAAAGTGGGGGAGAACAAGGGGTCACAAGACCAGTCAAGCAAAGCAAAGCAAGCTCAGGGTGGATCACAAAGTCACCACACAGTCCGAGCACAAGAGCAGGGCCAGAGGCCAGTTCACATGCAGGAGTACAGACATATATATAAAACTAGATAAGCAAGAGCAGGTATATATATATATGTCACAGTACAAGTGAAGTCAAGAGGAGAGCAAGTGAGGCAAGACAGGCAAAAGACCCAGCTGGGTGCAAAAGCGCTGATGGTCACAAGGCGCGAGTGCCTTGGTGAACACATCAGCAGTGTTGGCCTCAGAGGCCACGTACGCAAGTCGCAACTGACCACGCTGCTGCAGCTCACGAGCAAGGAAGTAGCGGAGAGCAATGTGCTTCGTTCTGTGCTCCAAGCGCTGCTCTCGACACAAGGCCAGCATGGCCTTGTTGTCTACGTACAGCACTGGAGGAGAACGAGGCGGCTCTCCAAGGTCAGTCAGCAGGTAGGTGAGCCAGCGAAGCTCCTGTGCAGCCATGGCCCCGGCGTAGATCTCAGCCTCACAACTGGAGCCGAGAACTGAAGACGAGCGAGTAGACCGCCACGAGACAGAGCCGGAACCAAGGCTGAAGGTGTAACCCTGTGACGACCGCTGCGTAGCATGGTCGTCAGCCCAAGAAGCGTCCGCGTGGCCGGTAAGGACCACTGGATTCCGCCCTCCAAGCACAAGCCCCATGCCCGACGTACTGCACAGGTAGCGCAATACCCTCTTCGCTGCAGCCATGTGCTCTGGTCTGTGTCTCCCAGGAGCAACATAGCGTGCAAGAATGCTCAGAGGATATGCAAGGTCAGGTCGTGTGCAGGTCATCAGGTACATGAGGCAGCCAACAAGCTCTGCATACGGACCACTCGACTCTACGGACTCATCCGAAGGCAGAGCTGAGAGTGAGTGGCGAGTAGGCAGAGGAGTGGCCTGAGGCGAGGAGTACGTGAAGCCGAAGCGCTGAAGGACCTGCTGCACCATGTGTGACTGAGTCAAGGTAATGGTGCGGCGTGCTCTGTCCCGAGTGATCTGCAAGCCAAGGTAGCTGCGCAGTTCACCCAGGTCTGTGCACGTGTGTCTCTTCAGCAGTTCGGACTTCACGTGGGCGAGTCCAGCAGTGTCCGCTGTGGCAAAGACCAAGTCGTCGACGTACACGAGGATGTAGAACGGCGGCAGTGAAGTGTCGGTGCGCAGAAACAGCGACGGGTCAGCAGTAGAAGGAGCAAACCCAAGAGCCGCAAGCGTAGTCCTCAGTGTGTCGTGCCACTCACGTGGTGCCTGGAGGAGACCGTAGACTGGCCGTCGGAGGCTCCACTGGGTGCCAAGAGGGAAAGTCCCAGTGAAGCCAGGTGGACGGCGCAGCCAGATCTCCTCGTGCAGGCTACCCTGCAGGAACGCAGTGCTGAAGTCAAGAGAGTGAAGCTCGTAGTCGCGCTGAGCGGCTATGTGCAGCAGCACCCGAAGAGTGGTCATCTTCGGGGTGGGAGAGAAGGTCTGAAAGTAGTCAACTCCCTGCCGCTGACTGAAGCCACGAGCAACGTACCGCGCCTTGAAGACAGGTGGAGAGCCCGGCGGCCGCTTCACCCGGAAGATCCACATGCCACTGACGATGTTCGCCCCAGGAGGGGGAACTGCGTCAACGTAGGTGCCTGTGGACTTCCAGGAAGCCATCTCTGCATCCATAGCTGCCTGCCACTGAGAGGAGTAGGGACCCTCTACGGCCTCCGCGTAAGAACGCGGAGTCGGGATGTCTAGTGCATCCGGGTCTCCCTCAGGGGCAAGCAGTACAGACGCGAGATGAGGTGAAGCAGCCGCTAGACACTGTAACTCCTCCTGTCTGTCCTCTAGGACGTCCGTGCCAAGAGCACACTCACCCCCGACGGACGGAGGACAGACAGACGCAGACTCAGCAACAAGACCAGCAGCGTAGTCGAGACGACAGCGAGCAGCAAAGTCAACGAGCTCAGCGACTAGAGCAGACGCAGCAGTGGACTCAAAAGAGGGGTCAGTGACGACAGTAGCAAGCAGACGCGTGACAGTAGGACTGGCAGCGCGAAGAGAGTCCGACTCAGGGTCGGCAAGCGCAGGAAGAGAGGACTCAGGAGGCGAAGGCAAAGGGGCACGCAGAGGAGCAGTGGACGGACGCAGAGACATCCGGTGCGTGCCAGGGACAGGAGGAGGACGCTGACGCGAACCGCGACCACTAGCGCGAGCAGCCCGAACAGGCGACGCGGGACGAGACGCAGGCTCACGACGCTCAGCAAGACCTCCAGTAGGACCAGTGTAAGGAGAGGGAGCAGGCAGAGGAGAGGAAGGCTCCAACAGTGACTGCGACTGGACAGGCTGTGGACACTCTACCGAAGGAGAAAGACCAAGAACCTGCTGCAGGAGCGGAACGAAGTACGGCCGAGGCCGCGCGGCAGCTCCAGACTCAGCAGGGACAGCACCAGCACCCTCAGCGACAGCACCAGCGCCACCCACACCTCCAGCGGCAGGACCAACAGCAGTAGGCCCAGCACCAACGCCCTCAGCACCTCCAGCTCCAGGAGGACCCGCAGGTCCAGCAGCTCCGGAACCGGCAGCACCCGCACCCTCGACGGTCGAAGAAGCTCCAGCTCCAGCTCCAGCAGCACCTCCACACTCAGCAGCACGCCTCCAGCGGCGAGCGTACCACTCGCGCAGCTCCTGTGGAGAGAGGGGCTCCCGGCGAGACGCAGCAGCAGGAGAAACCCCAGGCTCAGCAGCTCCAGACACAGCAGGGACAGCACCTGCATCCTCAGCGACAGCACCAGCGCCACCCACACCTCCAGCGGCAGGACCAACAGCAGTAGGCTCAGCACCAACGCCCTCAGCAGCTCCAGCTCCAGGAGGACCCGCAGGTCCAGGAGCTCCGGGACCGGCAGCACCCGCACCCTCGACGGTCGAAGAAGCTCCAGCTCCAGCTCCAGCAGCACCTCCAGACTCAGCAGCACGCCTCCAGCGGCGAGCGAACCACTCGCGCAGCTCCTGTGGAGAGAGGGGCTCCCGGCGAGACGCAGCAGCAGGAGAAACTCCGGGCTCAGCAGCTCCAGACGCAGCACCCCCAGGCTCAGCAGCTCCCGACCCAGCACCCCTAGACCCAGCACCTCCAGGC